CAATACACCTTAATTTAGGAATATACCTTGAATTATAGGGGCCTTAATCTTATGAATCATAAGATTAAGGCCCCTATAATTAACTTATGATTTAAGCTATATTCCTTAATTAAAGGGGTATGGGGCTCTCTGGAGGGGCTGCTTGCAAACCGTTCCGGGTCGCCGGGCGAACCGAGCTCAAAGCAGTCGCAGAGTTCTGAGCCGGACCTGAACCCTAAACCCCTAAAGCCCTAAACTCCTCAACCCCTAAACGCCTAAAGCCCTAAACCCCTAAAGCCCTAAACCCCTAAAGCCCTAAACCCATAAGGCCATGAGCTGACTGCAGACGTTTCGGAAAGCGAAGGTTTGCCAGGAGGGTGCTGAAGCCGGATGGGTTTAGCCTAAAACCCCCAAACCACAAGCCCTACACCCTATAAGCTGTCGGACTTTCTTCTCCCGCCTGTGGTCGCATACGGTTTCCCAGATTCACTTTGGGCCTCGCTCGGGTTTGGCCTTTAGGGTTAAGGGTTTTTGGACTTCAAGGTTAGGGTTTGTTTGGTTTTTTGTTTGGGTTTCAGGGTTTTGGGGCTTGGGGCTTTCAGCCTAGGACACTTTCAGGTGAGTAGTTACCGTTATAGGAGCCTTATGGAAGGTCTTATTACCTTATAGAAGCCTTATAGAAGCCCTACATATCCTAAACTCCCCACCTGCAGTTTCCTTTAATTCAGGGTTGATAAGTATAGCATAATATCCCCCAAAACCCCAGTTCTAATTATTAGTAACTCTTTCAAAGGAACCCGGGTTGTTTTGGGTTTAGGAGTGACCTGCGAGGACGTTGACAGCGACTGCTCGCTTCCAAGATTCAGGCGCTTCGGGTTTTAGGGTTTAGGGGTTTAGGGTTTTAGGGTTTAAGGTTTAGGGTATAGGGTTCAGGGTTCAGGGTTCAGGGTTCAGGGTTTAAGGTTCAGGATTTAGGGTTTAGGCTTTAGGGTTTAGGCTTTAGGGTTTAGGGTTAAGGGTTTAGGGTTAAGGGTGTAGGGTTTAGGGTTTAGTGCCAGTAAAGGGGTTCAAGGTGTGTCCTCATCGGTGAGTGCCAGAGAGAGCCCAAGACCCCTTAGATAAGGAATACACCTTAAATCACAATGTTACGGCCCCTATAACTTGAGATATATTCCTTAACTAAGGGGTATTGGGCTTTTTTGGGTGGGTATGTATGAAGTGGCTATCGCTACGACTCATTCAATGAGAGGTTTCTCGTGCCTCATAGATGCTATTCTTACAGGTCCATGCATACGGTTGGAAATGCTCGTAATTACGTCTAGTTCAATTAGAGCCTTACTTGTCATTGTCGCTACCCATGAACCTTAAATACCTGCACAGAGAACATTCCGAATCTGTCGCGCAGACCCTACTTAGAAAGTCTCGGGGTAATATTGCGATGCAGCGCTTTAAACCATTCGAAACGCGAAATTCTACACTCAGGTTTCAATAGTCCCTTCAAGAACGTGTGTGCCAGGACAGGCGAGACAGACGAGCCTGAGGAAGCAGCTTGAATTGAACCAGCGTGGATTCCCGCAATTCCTCTACTTGGAGGATCATGTGACCTAGCAAGAAAGGTATAGATACCTCAACAGTAGATGTTGTCTTGATTGTAACCCTAGCTACTCAGTTACCAAGTGCTATGAACGTTTAAGCCCAACTTCGGGTGCATAAGCACAGCAGGGTGAAGGGGTTCGGGCTTAATCTCCTAAACCCCTAAACCCTAAAGTTTGGGCTTAGGGTAATCCCGAAACCCTTAACCCTAAGCCCTAGAGTTTGGGTTTAGAGTAAAACCCTAAACCCCAAACCCTAAAGTTTGGGTTTAGGGTAAAACCCAAAAACCCTAAACCCTAAAGTTTGGGTTTAGGGGTGAGGAACTTCAGCCCGAAATCCTAGAACTGTGAGCCCGAAGCCCTGCACCGTCATACGATCAGGGTTTTGGGTTTAGGGATTAGGGCTTTAGGGCTTTAGGGCTTTAGGGTTTTAGGGTTTAGGGTTTAGGGTCGAGGGTTTAGGGTTTAGGGAAAGACCTTATGTACCATCACTCAATGTGGACCCTTGATTCAGAAACCCTTGTTCCCCAAAAACGCTTTCAAACTAGGAACTTTGAGCACATTGCGAACCTTCAGGAACAAACCCTGAACCCTAGACGCCTTTCAATCAGAGGTCGACTTTACATAGAAAGGATATCAGACGGAAGCCTGGAGTAAACCCAAGCTCTGTTAAAGCTTCCATACTAGGGTTCAGGGTTTGGGGTTGGGCCCTGAACCAAGCCCTACACCCTAACCCTAAACCCGAGGCCCTTGAAGAAGATCCGGACAAGGAGCCCTCAAGAAGAAACCCTTGAAACAAGAACCTTGAGAACCAAAAACCCTAAACCTTAAACCCTAAACCCTAAACCCTAAACCTTAAACCCTAAACCTTAAAAAGCTTAAAACCCTAAACCCTACACATTAAAACAAAACTTAAACCCTAAACCCTGGAGCAGAAACCTTGATCCTTCAGACTCAGTTTTTTGTTGCTCAAAGGACTCCGCAAGCCTTTGCGAGTTCTCCGACCTGGACTCAGAGGAACCCGGCTTCAGTCCTGTGCTTGGTTCAGGGTTTAGGGCTACTGAAGCCCTTGTAGAAACCTAGGGTTTAGGGTTTAGGGTTTAGGGTTCTCTGTGTTAAAGACGCCGTCCTTCAATATAGGAGCTTCAGCAGCGCTTCGTCGTTGATTTCTCCCTACTACGGCGCAGTTGTTGCATCACATATCCAAGGCAAACCCCATGTAATGCAGACCCCTGGTTTAACATGCCCCTGCCTGAAAAGGGACTCTCTCTCTCTCTCTCTGCATCTCTCTCTCTCTCTCTCTGTGTATCTCTTTTTATATATATATATATACCTCTCTCTCTCTATATATATATATACACACTATAATCGTGATCTCAGTATCAAGGCCATGAGACTCTGAGAGAGAGAGAGAGAGAGTTCCTTCAGTCATCACGGTTTACCTTCATGTCCCCTAAACCCTAAACCCTAAACCCCAAACCCCAAACCTTAAACCCTAGACCCCAAACCCTAAACCCTAAACCCTAACCCTACCCCTAACCCTAAACTCAAGGAAGGCAAGCCAGAAGCATGCCGAAGCCGAGAGCAGATCTTGTGCCCCTACCTCCATGGATCCCCCTCTGGGGTTCAGGCTACAGGCTTTAGGGTTTAGGGTTTAGGGTTTGGGGTTTAGGGTTTTGGGTTTAAGGTTTAGGGTTTATGGTTTTGGGGGTTTGGGGTTCAGGTTTAGGATGTATGGTTTTGGGTCAGAACCCTGAACCTCAACACCCTACGCAGCAAATCGCCAGATCGGGTTGGGAGAGTCTGCCTGTCATGGAAGGACATGGACATCGACAAAGACCTCGCAGTGCCTGGATATGCATGCCAGATCTCCTCATCACTGTAGTTGCTATACCATCACGGCAATCATCGTCATCACGTTGATTGTTGGTATTCCTCATCCCTACTAGTCAGTGCTTTCTGACAGTTGCTGCTATGCTGTTGCCACGCTTGCTGCTAAACACCCTGGCCATCAGTAGATGTGTGACTACTGCGATCAATAGTCACCAGTGGTACACGATCGTAGCTATTATTTTCGTTGTTGGTGTTGATTGCCGTATTTGTCGTCGCTGTGGCTGCAGATGGTTGCGGTTTTGCTGCAGCCGTAGGTGTGTGTGTGTATGTGTTGGGTTGAAGTTTGTTTGCTGCGAGTGGCTACAACTACGACTGCAACTACGACTGCCAATTCACTACTGCCAGTCGCCATGATATCCCCCATTTCGAAGTTTACTCTTGTTCTGATGCGGTTCTATCTCTGTACTGTCCCACGGCCATGCTTTCTGGAAGCTCTGGGACGAGTTCGCGTCATTGGCAGCAGTAACACAGGTGTTCCTGCTGCTGCTCATGGACACGGCAGTATTTTCAACAGCCTTGGTTGGTAATCGAAGCAATTTCAGCGGGATAGTAACAAGTCGCAGCAGCAACAGTTGTCCGTACCCATAGGCCCCTAAGTAGTTCCTGTTTATGGTTTACATTTAGAATCCTTTTAGGTAATCCCCAAAAAGGAGCTACTTAGGGGCCTACGGTAAATCCTAAGCTCGAAACTGCAAATCCCACCCTAAATCCTGAACCCGCGAGCCACAGCCGAGACCCGAACCTCGCAACTGTTAACTGGGTTCTTGTTAAGGGACTTAATGTAGGTTACCATAATAAGGAAACCCTATTACTTACTATAGATCCCTATTATGGTAACTTAAATTAAGTCCCTTAACAAGAACCCAGTTAAGTCCTCCCAGGATGTGGAGCATGATGTTGCCGAGCGATCCTCGGCGACACCCATAAAGCACGCACACACACACAGACAGACGGGCAGAGACGGACAAAGACGGACAGAGACAGAGAGACAGACAGACAGAGACAGACAGACACAGACAGAGACAGACAGACACAGACAGACACAGACAGACGCAGACAGACGCAGACAGACACAGAGAAACACTGTTTCCGGCTTAGTATAGAAGCCGGAAAAGCTGGTACCAGGATTCCCTCATAGTCGCTGTATGATCATACTATGATGACTCCCGAACTGATATGATATTCTAAGCAGTAAAAGCCCCTGTATTATGGCGAGGATGTTTGGCAAACACAACCTACGCCGCGCAGATCTAGGCCTTGGCTGTGATAAGGGCCTTAAGCATTGGACTAGGTTTTTGATGTTGTTTAGGGGCCTTCATAATTGGAACAGGGTTTTGGGGTATATTATATTATAGTTACAATAAGGACCCCCCACCAAAAAAATAATAACAACAAAAAACAAAAATAACATAGGTACTTTTTAAGGCCTCTTGTTCTTTCGTCATACTGTGACTTTACGAGGGCTACTAAGGATCGTACGGGGACAATAATGTCACAAATTGTTCCGACTCCTGCAATAGCTACATTGCTGACCAGGAGAAGTGCTTGCGCATGTCCGAGACAACATCTCCAACTGTCCCTATGCCGTCGCGGCTTCGATTCTTGATGAAAGCGGGGAGTACGGCGAGTTTCAAATGACACTGGGCAAGCACGCGACCAGGGTTCTTGTGGTTTCTTCGAAGGGTATGCTGTAAGTGCTAAACTGAAGCCCTGCAATGATACGCATTCCTGCCCTGCCAGAGGAGGATAGCAAGTGTGAGCTTCACACTGGGTGATATACGGCTAAGGGTAGATGCCCCAAGTACTGCCCTAAACCCCGAACCCTAAACTGATTGTGTACCCGCCGACTGGAAGTTTCATGACCTGCCTTAAGGCTCTAAGGAACCTCCTAAACAGGGCCCGGTACCTCCTAATTAGGATCCTGGGTCTCAATCTTCTTTCAGTTTGAGGGCCCATGAGCCTTAGGGTGAATCAAGGAGCCCCGACTCCTAAAGCCACGAGCATAATATAGGGGCCTGCATGATAAATAATTGCTGGACATATCATACTGTGCTTCGATGTACAGGGCAAAGCGCCCGATGCTAATTGTCAAGGCTTCTCTCTATATACATATATATATAACATAAACTTCGGGGCATAATGTCACAAGTCGATGTTCTGCCAAGAAGTAAACCGATTTGTCGCCCGAGCCAGAGCTGGAAAGGCACGCATCGTAGGATTTGGTGTTTAGGGTGTAGGGATGTGTAGGGGTTGAGTCATTAGGCTGCGAGGACTCTTGGGAGTAGGCCTTTGGGTGTGTTGAGGGGTTCAGCGGACTGCTCAGTCTGCATACGGCCTTGGGTTTGGTTTATGGGCTTCCGCTATTAAGTTGCTGGGGCCTTTTTGTGGCGTGTAGAGCAGTTGGATTACTCGGAGCATGAAAACGATTCATGAGCCAAACCTCAAACCCTAAAAGCCCTAGAAACCCTAACAACCCAAAACCCTGAAAATCCCAAAGGCCTAACCCTAAACCCGAATCCCGAACAACATAAACAGCCCTCAAAATTCCAGACCTTCGGGAGAACGCAGAAACACTTAGTAGCCCTCGCAGCTTGATTCCGGAACTGGCGCTTGGGATCCCCCTGTCCCAAAAGTTTAGGCTTAGGGGTTTAGGGTTTAGGGGTACTACCCTAAGGCTCATGGGCCCTCAAACTGAAAGAAGATTGAGAACCCAGGGTCCTAATTAGGAGGTACCGGGCCCTGTTTAGGAGGTTCCTTAGAGCCTTAAGGCACTGTAGATTCGAGGATGGGCCTGCCTGCGCGGACCCGCATATATGTGCTTGCCTGCACCTGTTTTTCCAAGACCTTCAAGACTTCCTCAAGTCTGTCCGGACATCGTCGTTGCGATGGAGGGGAGGGTCTAGGGTTTAGGATATACCCATACGCTCCATAGTAGTTCCTTTTTGGGGTTACCTTGTAGAACCCTAAATATAAGCCCCAAAACAAGGAACTACTATGGAGCCAGGGGTACCCTCCCTAAACCCTAAACCCCTAAACCCTAAAACCTGAACCCTAAACCCTAGGGGGGTTTCAGGCGGTTTCAGGTCTATGAACCAACGAGAGCACCGCTACCTGCCCCGCACGTGCTCCATTGGGCCGCAGAAGTTCAGCTGCTGCTTCCCAGGGAGCCCAATAATTCAATACCCCCTTTTATAAAATATACCTAAAATCATAGGGGCCTTAATATTATGATTTAAGGTATATTCCTTAATTAAGGGGTTTTGGGCTCTCTGGGAACGTGACAGTGTGCAGCAATGAAGCCGCTGAGCAGCACAGCGGACTTTCGCGGGGGGTCGTGTAGGGTGTCTCTCGCATATACCCCAAATAGACCAGTGCCCGGCTAATTCAACTAGCCCTCGCGGTCCATCTGTAGCCTGTAGCCCAAACCATAAGATCTAGGGCCTAAACCCTGAACACCCCCAAGTCCTCAATCCCTGAAGCCCTAGCCCTAAACCCTAAACCCCTAAATCCCTAAACCCCCAAAGTCCCTAAACCCTAAACCCCTAAACGCTAGCCCTTAAACCCTAAACACCTATAACCCCTAAAAACCTCTAACAGCCTGAAAGACCTAGGCTTTCAACCCACGAAGACCTGAGCTCTTAAAATCCTTCTCTCGCCTTTCGCGTCAGGATTTCAAGTGGCTTCGAAGAGGAGTTCGGCTACAACAAGCAGGCCCACGATCTGTCTTTTTTTAAACAGGGGGATCGGGTTTAGGGTTTGGGGGTTGATTCAGGGTTTGAGGTTGTATTCAGTGTGTTTTAAAGAATTGCGGGGTTAAGCGTTCTGAAGCTTAGCGAGACCTAAGATTCATTTAGGGTTTCAGGGCTTTGAGTAAATACAGGGGTTAAGGTTTGGGTTTACGAGCTAAGGGCTTTAGGGTTTAGGGGCCTGAATCAGTACCGACACTTTTGCTTAGGGTTCCTATTACCGTCAACATTTGCAGATAATGCCCCCGCCCCCCGCCCCCGCCCCGCCCAAATTGGGGTTTCTTGATGGTGTACGGTTAAGGTTGGTTTTATTTGATCTTAAGTGTGGTTTCAATTTTTTGGTGTACTTAGGGGCCAGGACTTCTAGGCCGAGCACCGAGAACTTATGCAAGTCGTTTTTTTCACGAGTTGTTGATTGTCTGTTGTTCAGGGTTTAAGAATAGTTTGGGATTTGTTTCCGAGTGTACTAGAACCCTAAACCCTAATGCCTATAACCCTGATCCCTATAACCCTAAACCGACTGTTCTGTTGCCCTTAAGGGGCTTTCTACGATTTACCAAAGGCTCGAACCTGAAACCTGAGAGCAATACGTCATAAATCCGAAGCCACCGGATCCCTGGACGGACAAAAAAGCATAGCAACCCTCAAAACCTATATGCCTGAAGGCTCTAAGGAACCTCCTAAACAGGGCCCGGTACCTCCTAATTAGGACCCTGGGCTCTCAATCTTCTTTCAGTTTGAGGGCCCATGAGCCTTAGGGTGGGTGGTTGTCAAAATTATGGTCGCTTTATGGGCGCCCTAAATATCAGGTGCCGTATTATGCTTAGGACCCAAAGCAGGACCATAATTTGGATAACCACCCATATGGGTAGTTCTCTAAATTGGCTTAGGGCTTTAAGGGGTTTGGGTTTAGGGTCCAGGGTTCAGAGTTTAGGGATACAGGGTAGATACAGAGGCCTGAACAAGTACCAGAATGATTCTGCAGAGCATATCTGTAGTATCATATACCGCCAAACCCAGTGGCATAGTCCTGCTAGGTCCTACATTGATGATATAAATCCTGCATTACCTGAAGGACCCAAAACTATTGGAACTATGGTATATATGTTCCTTATTCTGGGTAATGCAGGATTTAGATCATCAACCGTATGTGCGGAATGGGAGCTCTTGGGGATTCTTTGGTGGGAGTCGAAGGTAGTCAAGCCCTCTGGAAACTTCATTTGTTCAAGGGTTTAGGATTTAGGGCCTAGGGTTTGGCGGGGGATGGTTTCCGATACTCATCCGTGAACCTTGAACCCTAAAACCTAAACCCTGAGCCTGAACCCTGAACCCTAAACCATAAACCTGAACCCTAAAACCCGAAAACCCTAAACCCTAAAGCCCTAAACCCCAAACCCCCAAAGCTTCTACTATGGAGCCTATGGGTAAACCCATGATGTCTGCGAGGAGCTTTGCGGGAAGCCGGTTCTCCGCCTCTTGGCGGAAGCTGCTCGGCTGGCAGCCCCGACGTACGGTTGATGATATAAATCCTGCATTACCCTTAAGAAGGAATATGACGTAATTCCCAGAGTTTAGAGTCCTTAAAGTAATGCAGGAGTTATATCATCAACAGTATGTGGGGCTTTGGTCTCAGGGTTTGGGGTTTGCGGTTCGGGTTTGGGGTTTAGGGTTTGGGATTTAGGGTTTGGGGTCCAGGGTATACATGAGGTATGGAAGAAGATGCAAAAGATATAACTCAGCAAGATGTACGAAGATGCAACAGACGGCATGCGCACTAGTGAACCGCACTCGCTATTACACGTAGTGCATGACAACGAAAGGGCATGAGACACACGTCATGAAGAAGCACCTTAGAACCATGTGTGGCATACGGAATCCTTACCGTTATTTTTTGTATACACGTTTACCGTATACATGTTGTTAGCTCACGAGCTAGCACAGCGTATGTGCATATGGAACGGAGTAGTACCATATCACAAAAGCATCTAGTTTTGCATTGCAGTGTAGTACTACACTGAAACTCAGTCCGTTCAAACAGAAGAACTGGTGTTGCTCTGCAACATAGAATACAACAGAGCAGGTCAAAACAAGTGAACATCTCTGTAGACAGCTATGTATTTGGACTTCATTATAGTGCACAACAAAACTGCTTCCGCACCCGTGTTAACAATCACATTTTGTTGTGCTTATGGCAGTTGGAGATGCAATTCCGAGTTGATGCCGCGCACGACAGCATGCTACAGATGCACGTGCCTGCGAAGCTGTCATCGTATGTAAGGACATAGAGAGTATATACACATACATATGTGGACTACAGTGTCTAGGTACCTGAGTATAGACGATCTGTCATTTATGGATAGATATGTATGCATGCACATACCAAGACTTCTTATTCATACAGACACACATGTACGAAACGAACCCTGCGTGGTTTGTATGAAGATGCAGCAGGATGTGTGTTTACCCTAAACGTTACCAGCCTAAACCTTATTCCATGCATGGAGTCACAGACGCCAACGACCGTGACGTGACGATTAAGGTTGGTTTTCTCGCTGCACAAGCATATGCCCATCAATACATGGTAGCACCGACAATGGTGTGGTGTGGTATGTATATGGGCGGAGGTTGCTGTGCGTACACATTCATGTGTGATGCATATATTTACCAGACTCGGAGATAAATGGACATGCAGATCTGACGTGACAGGGCACAGGAAGTAACATCTTATTTAGCTATCAGCTATAATGTGCATCTGAGGATGGGTATGTCGTTATGTGTACATGCATATCATATACACGCACCACGCACACACACACAGAGACATACATCTAGGACATTTCCATTTCCAAGTGGCTAGTTTCCGTTATAGGAGCCTTATAGAAGGTCTATATACCTTATAGAAGCCTTATAGAAGCCCTCTATACCCTAAACTCCCCACCTGTAGTTTCCTTTACATACACCGCTGCAGGATGCGAGGATGGCCTTTACATATCGTCGTGTCCTCGTGCATGTTTGTGGCCTCAACTCGTTACTGGCACATTAGACGGCTGATGAAAAACCGCACATAAGCCTCTCATGCAAGGACCCTTTGGCAGAATTTGCGCTTGACTGCCATTTCAACCGTGTTGCGCAGGAAGGCGCCTATACTGATACCCTCAGTGATTTCTAGGGTTCGGCGGCAAGGGTTTGGGGCTTAGGGGTTCTTTGCATGCTTCCGAGGTCAGGGTTTCAAAAAGGTTAAGGTTCAAACTAGGTTTCAGGGTTTATAGGCTTTACTCTAGCGGTTGCAGTCGGGATTAGGGCACCTGCGCCAGATTCAGGCCTTTCGCGGAACTACGTCCTGCAAGGGTTACTTCGGCTTTCGATTTGGGAGGCTATACCTGGCCACGCCAAACCCTACTTGGAAGTTCAGGCGTAGTTATAAGCGGGGCTGGAAGTCCCAAATATACGTTCGAGTTATAGTTACCCTACTTATAGCCCCACTTATTTACAACTACCCATGAAGCTCCAAGTAGGACCCTTCAAGCAACCCTTAAAGGAAGCCTAAACCCTAACACCCTAAACCCCTAAATTCTTAAAATTATTAAAGGAACCCTTAAAGGAGCCCTTAAAGGAAGCCCTTAAAAAAAACCCTTAAAGGAAGCCTAAACCCTAAACCCCTAAATTCTAAAGGGAACCCTTAAAGGAGCCGTTAAAGGAAGCCCCTAAAGGAGCCCTTAAAGGAAGCTCTTAAGGAAACCCTTAAAGGAGCTAAAGGAGCCCGTGCAGGAAACCTTTAAAGAAACCCTTGAAGGAAGCCTTAAAGTAAGCCCTTAATGGAGCCCTTAAAAAAAGCCCTTAAAGAAACCCTTAAAGGAAGCCTGAAAAGAAGCCCTTAAAGGATCCCTTAAAGGAAGCCCTTAAAGGAAGCCCTGAAAGGAAGCCCTTAAAGGAAGCCCACCAGGTGCCAACGAAACCATCACAGCTCCTCTTCGATGCAAGACGGGCGAGCTTATCAGCAAGACCTGGACGATGCAAAAGGCGCCCCCAGGGTTTCGGGTTGGGACATGGGTTTAGGGTTTAGGGCTTAGCTTCATTGAGGCTGTATGCTCCCAATGCCAAGCTGAAGAAAAGCAATACACCAAAACCGAATCCCAAATCGCAAAGTCAAACCATGCGCGGCACCTTACCGTAGTTGGTAGCAATGCTTCCTTTTCATCGGTACTTCCAAGGCCCAGATTTGAGCTACACGTCCTAAATTAAGTAGGTCGACTTCTTATAAAGGGTCATTCGTTGATTATGGGTGTAATTGAATCTAGCCGAATCTTGCAACGCCCATATGTAAACACGCTTACGCAACCTCAAGGGCGTAACTTAGGCTCTCGGAGTAAGTGCCCAAATCTCGAGAAGCTTCCTTCTAATCCTGAGTCTTCCTATCCCTAAGCCCTAAACACAGATATAGGGTTCCTTAAAGGTTTCTTTAAACGGATCTTTATGACTTCTATACTAGTGGTTTTAGGATTTCTTGAAGGATCGTCGGACTGAGTAACTCGCGTTATAAACAAGGTAACTATGGTTATAAATACGTATTTACCCCAATTGAGGTACTTAAACCTTACTTAGCCTTACTTACTAAGTCCCATGATCTTGCAAATAGGGTTTGGAAACACCATGGAGCACTCCAAACTATCCCAAACCCTGAGCCCTGAACCCTAAACCCTGAACCCTGAACACTAAAACCTAATCCCTGAACCCTAGACCCTATAAAGCCGTGAACTCTCAATCTCGAAATTAAGGCTTAGGGTTCAGGAACCTACAGAGCCCAATGCCCCCGTCAATTAAGAAATGCACCTTGGGCCAAAAAACCCTCTATAAGCAGTCATAGTAATAGTGGATAACAGAAATAATATATAATGATCAGAACAAAAATAACTCACAACAGTAACAGTAGGAACAAAGCCCGGCCTGTGATGTTAGGTACCCCTAAACCCTAAACCCTAAAACCCTAAACCCCAAAACACTAAACCCCAAACCCAAAACCCTAAACCCTAAACCCTCACATTCGTTAATTCGGGGGCCCTGGGAGTCTCCGTGGACACCCCAAGCCATCCCCAACCCCCAGACCCTAACAGGGTTCAGGGTTTTATCGTTCAGGGTTTTAGGGTTCAAGGTTTTAGGGTTCAGGGTTTTAGGGTTCAGGGTTTAGGGTTTAGGGTTTAGGGTTTAGGGTTCAGGGTTTAGGGTTTAGGTCCTTTAAGGCTACGGGGCCCTTGTAGGTCTAGGGTTTGAGGTTTGAACATCGGGCTTGCGCCCCCCGGAGGTCAAGGGGCCCCTGGATTAAGGTAGAATGACAAGGGTTGAATATTATACTACTAGTACTACTACCACTACT